GTGCTTATTCTACTGAGCTATCTCCCCAGCCCCTTGTGATGTTAATCTTGATGGTCAGATTGATTTGCTAGGGGATGTGTGGGAAAGCACATCAGGTGAGTTGGGCCGGGCCATAGGCATGTGATCATGGGGACTACAGTGACTCCTGGCCCTTTCTGGTCTGGTTTTCTTCCTCTACTCTCTGCTTCTTTATTGCCATGAGGTGAGAAGCTTTTCTTCACCTTCCTGCGTGATGTTTCTGCCACAGAGCCAGCTGACCATGGACTGAAACCTTGGAAAACATGAGCCAAAGTAAAATATTTTCTCCTTTAATTTGATTGTGTCAGGCAATTTGTCCTAGCAAGGAAAAGTGACTAATACAAAAGTTAAGTATCAAATATCTTTTTACTTAATTCTCAAAGAAGGAATAATATACAACTTGAATATGAAAATATGGAACTTAACAGGTTAACTTGTGGCTACCTGCCGAATATCAGACTGGTGGCAGAAACATAGATGACAACTCTGATCTAATAACCAGTCTGCACAAGAATGTGAGTTTTAAAGAGATGCTCTATCTCTGTTTCAGACAAAGCAAATTGCCTCAGATAGGAAGTGAATTATTTAGTCAAGAGTTGCTTTTACTTACCCATTTTTCAGTAGCCCAATATACAGGGCTCTTTTTATGTTTTTTCTCAGCTTACACATAAATACTTCACCCAAAGTAATTTTAATATTACCATTGAGGATAACAGTAAGACTGTAAATAGGTCACAAGATGTTTTGTTACCTCTCCTAAATAAGAAACACAGTTGGGTGTCTTATTGTAGGGAACTTGTGGCTCATTTTCATCCCAGTATGTCAGAGTAACTTCAGTACCATCTGACCATTGAAACAGAGTTGGTATATTCACGCTCTTAAGGCCTGTCCATATTTCTTCTCGGGCATCTAAAAGAAAAATGTGTTACTTTATTTGGCTTTACTCAATTGCTTTCTTTAACATGTATATTGTTTGTCTTAGTTACTCTTCTCTCGTTGCTGGGACAAATACCTGACACTCAAAATGAAGGAAGGAAAGATTTACTTAGCTCATAGTTACTGGAGGTTTCAGTCCACACTCAGCTGCCTTCAAGGCAGAGGGCACATGGCACAGGGCAACTTTTCACAGCAGTGGCAAAAAGCAAGAGCTCAAGGAGGAGTAGCAGCAGCTCAAGTAGCTAACTTCTCTTTCCTCCTTACATTGAAATGCAAATTACCTGCCCAGGGCAGGTGCAGCATCCACACCCACAGCAATCAATCACAAACTCCAGAAGCCACCCCAAAACTGCATGAGGTTTTGGGGGGACAACTATACACAAACCATAACATTGCTGCTGAGTTTTGCCTTCTGATATGGGGTATAGGAATCTCTATAGTATTCTTAATTAGCCTATTAATGCACTGAAGAGGGAGGCAGGTTGGAAAGTGAAGGCTCTTCCTGTTACCAATACTCAGAGAGGACACAGGACCCAGAGCTGGACTAAGACCTCCAAGCGGAGTGTTCTTGACCTCTGTGTAGATAAACTCTGCTCTATGGGAATTAGTAAAACTGTAAATACAGCTATAGACATTCTAATTAGAATAGAAATATTGTCCTCTGCTTTCCATGAGCAACTCCACTGCCTTCACAGAAACAACTAGCACCGTCCCCGCACAAAATAGGTATCTACTATTACCTGTTATTACTAGAGAATCTTAGGAAGAGGGGATATCACCAGCAGCTTAATATAGTTTTGTTCACTGGTCTTTAATTCTCAAATGATTGCAAAGTGAAATAGTTATCACTTAACTTAAGGTGAATTTAGAGTCTAAGAAATGGAAACCTGTCCAGTCAACAGTTGTACTGTATTAGTAGCCATTAGGCACATGTGGCTTTTTAAATCCAAACATATTTAATTAAAATTAAATAAAAGCATAATTCTCTTTATCATTCCTAAGCTGTATTTCAAGTACTCAAACGCCACACGTGGCAGGCGGCCACTGGATTGGACAGGGCAGACAATGGGGCAGTTCCATCACCACAGAAAACCCTGCAGGACAGTGTTAATCTGCAGGATCAAATTATAGGCGTTCATTCTCTGTACACGTCTGAAAATAAGAATATTTTAAAATGTCTTAAGCCTCTCAAATAGGATGCTTTAAAAAACTTACCTCCATTATGGAGTTTTGTGACAACCACCTCCACATCTGCTAACGAATGAATGCTGATGAGGTCACCACTGAAAGCTCTGCATTTTATTTGTGCCTCATCCCAGGAAGCACTTTCATTTACTAGTAGATAACAAAATCCATTATTTGGCAGCCAGCCTGCATCACAGCGGGTATCTGAATATGTCCACACATCTAGGGGGAAAGCAGCAATTTATATTCCAGTAAAGACATTGCTATTTTGAATTTAAAAATATTGCAAATTTTTCTTCGCTGAATCATAAAGCTTCTGGAAAATGAGGCAACATAATGTCAGATACTGGAGTGACATAAATTTACGTTGTCCCTCATGTATACATGGCACTGTAAGAATTCCTGCAAGGATTCAAATAACGATGTGACCTTCCTGGGATGCAGACCTGCTACACGGCTGGGCATGGACAGCTTAAAGGGCACAGGCACAATAAAGGGAAGAATTGCCCTCAGTTCTAATAGACAGAAAAAAGGCGTGGGCTGAGCCAGTTGCTGACAAATCTTTTTCTGGGTCTGAGCTGTGCTAGACTCCCCTCCAGTCTCTGCCTTTGAGAGGATGATAATGAGGCTGACCCATCTCTCCTTGCATGATTAGGTCACCAAGGTGATGTGCATTAATGCTCAGTCCTGAGCAAAGGACAGGCAGAGATTTAAGGAACAGAATAAGACATTTGTACAGTTCACACTGAAGAGCTGGCAACAATGGAGAAAGGGCAAAGGGCATCTCTGGACTTCTTTCCTCTTCTCCTGCTGGGCTCTCTGTCATCATGAAACTGCTAGCTCTTCGATTTGATTATGATAAAACTCACAAATGAGGGTCTAATATTTCTAGGTTAGAGCAAAAGATCCAGGTATAAAACCATACAAATACTTTTACCCTTCCTAAAAAATTAGAAAATAGTTTCATTACTCGTGCTTCACTGATTCAGAACTACTTTGAACAATTGTTTTAAGAAAACAGCATCTTAAAATCCTGGACAGCTTATTTTTTTTACTAAAGGGTAAAATTCAGGTTCATCTAGCTTCTTATGCTTGTAGGATAACTAAATTAACTTTTAAATTCTGAACAGCATTTATTATTTCTACTATGTTATATAATTATGATAAAAGAGCAAAGGGGAGAAATCATGCATAATTGAACTTAAAACATTTCCATATTCTAGTCTTTGTCTCAATGAATAGATATTTTTATAAGACTAAAATGATAAGTAGGCATATCATTTAGTTCAGCTCTTTGTATTTTCCTGATGGCATAGTTATAATAAATGCATATGATTCAATCATGTGGAGACAATTTGCTTAATAATTGCTACTTTGAGGTATTTATTTAATCTGTTGTTGGTTGTTCTGGTTTATTTTCATTTATGCTCACTTCTCTATTATGCTTTTTGTTGTGTGGATTACATTTGACTTGCATTAACTTGGGAGATATGTGTTTATTTTTCCCTGTTATCTGAAAAGATTTCCTTACATCATTTATTTGATATGATTGCCTTTCTTAAAAAGAAGTTTCTCTGAGCTCCTTTCTCGATGACAAAAGTTGTGATTTTTCCCCTTTCTCTCATAATTTCTTAAAGTAGGACTTTTAAAAAAAGTTTTATCTATGTGTGTGTGTGTGTGTGTGTGTGTGTGTGTGTGTG